GTTAAAAGTTAAAAGTTAATAAGTAATGTTTACTTATCTCTTACTTACTTACTTGTGTGTATATATATATATATATATATATATATATATATATATATATATGAGTACTGGCATCTGTTTTTCTTTTTACAAAAAAAAAGCACTGCTTATAGTCATCCAAGCCTTCTTATTTGATTGCCAAATCATTGGTAAATTAGGCTTGGCATATCCCTTTAGAGTCCTTGGACTCTCGAAACTGTACACTAGTAAGAACTTTAATTTGAAATCTCCAGCAGCATTTCCACCCACAAGTTGAGTCAGATGATCTTTCAAAGCCTTGAACCGTGATGCAGACTTCTCTTCCCTAAAAATAAGTGTTCTACCTGGCATGCGTTTCCAGAACAGCCCCGTTTCATCCACATTGGAGACTTGTTCTGGACTGTAACCCTTTTCTTCAATAATTTTTTTGAGTTTACTAGAGTATCTTTGTGCAGCTTTTACATCAACACTGGCAGCCTCACCACTTAGTTCTATGTTGTGCAAGTTAAAGTGCTTCCTGAACCTGTCAAACCATCCTGTACTTGCCAAAAAGTGTTTTTCTTGAGAACTGCCACTACCACTTTGTTCAGTCACCAAATCGTCATGTAAACTTTTTCCCTTAGTTTGTATAACCATCATGTTTAACGACATATTACGTTGAATCTGATCCTCAATCCACACACTTAAAAGTCTTTCTGTATTAAGCATCACTACACTTCTGAACAAGCACTGAGTGGTGTAGCTACTTTAGCACTTGCCTTGATTTTGTCTATATTATTGCTTATCATTCCCACTGTAGGGGTAGCAAGCCCTAAAGTTTTAGCAAGAGAGCCAAGTTTCTCTCTGGCATCAAACCTCTTCAATACATCAAGTTTCACATCCAAAGTAATTCCTTTCCGTGCTCTCATGGGTGTACTACTAGCACTTGAAATTGATGGCCTCTTTCCGGGCATCTTTAATAAGGGTAATACACTGGAGAATCTTGAAAAATGATGAAAAGGACAACTGCATGATCATATGATGATACTAACAGAAGCATTTGCTGATATGAACAGAGCTCGCCACCTACATCACTGACTCTTTGAAATGTGCTCTGCATTCCTAAAAAAAAAAAAAATTTGGGGGCAAATTTTTATTTTTTTTTTTTTTGTTGTGTCTTGAAAATTTTTTCTAATTTACCTCAAAATTCCATGAGGGTAAATTTACAGTCTGTACCCCAAATGTATTGGTCACACTTCATAATTTCCGTTTGGCCGATATTCCATAACCCGAATGCCTGTAATGTGAGAACAGACTGTACTTAATACTTGGATTCCACAAATACATCATAAATATAGGTGTTGATCTTCATACTTCCATGCGTATATGAGTGGAACCGACATGCAAGATCAGATGTTGTTGTATTAATCATAAGGTGGTATAAGAATACTTCTATTCATATGTTACACATGTCTCTGCTAAATTTCTTTTTTTTTGTATAATCATTATTTTGCAAATAATATGACACTGTATGGTTTTTGTCCGGTGATAAAGGAGCTTCAAATTATATCTCGAGAAATGATGTATTCATCATGTGCATTTATATCATGATAAATACATATTTCAATTGATATTTTGTCTTTTCTTTGAATAAAAGTGATTTTTCCACAAATTTTAACTAAATAAATTTCTAGACGGACATAGTGCTGAGGATGTACAGGCACATCTTAAAAAAATCATATTGTTTTGATTTATTATTATTAATGATATTGTTTAATATGAAAACAACAATATTGCACTTAAATTTGCAGGACCTGCCATAGATAATGCCAAGCATTGCAGCAATTAATGTGTTAATATGTAATTTTTGTATGTCATAATATTTTTGTTTTTTAATATCTGTAAAAACTAGAGATGTTTCTCTTTCAAAAGCATGTATTAAAATAGTGTAGTACTAAGTTCTTAAAAATATAGAGTTTCAGCACATTTATCACATAATAATCATTTAATCGTTGTTTTGTTAACTTCAGACGTACAGGTTTAGACATCAAAGCTGGCAAAACTATTCGTAGAGATGAGGATGGAATGGAAGTTTTTGATGACTATTGGACTGATCCTGGTATTGTTAATTTCATTGTCAAGTATATCTATTTTGTTATAAATTACAGGTTTGTTGTTGAAGGATGATTTTCTTTGCCTTTTATTTAGTCACAAATCATGTTTCAGCTTATGACCATCATAAACAGTCTTTGGTGCTACTATAGCATGTGGTCTACAAAGATATTTACATTATAGCTAGTGGTCTACACAGATACTATCATCATCACCATTTTAATGATTCACTAAAAAATAATTTCTTGCTAAATATTTTATATATCTATCCACATTTTCACTCAGCAAATAATAATAATTCAGTAAGTTGTGTGTTCCAAAAGAGTAACTTAAATTTAGGTTATAATTGTGCTAGTTTTAATTGTTGGAATTTATTTCATTCCGAATATATAATTGCCACCTAAATGTTATGTAATTGTATATTGTACTTTATTAGTTTAAAAGCGTTATTTATAATAAATGATGCCAATTACAAATAAATGGAAGTTAAAATGGTGATGATAATAGTATTTGTGTAGACTGCACGCTATAGTAGCACTCAGTCTTTCTCAGGATTTCCATAAAGATGGCAGCACAGTAGTGGCTAAAATGTAGGATACAAACTAGTTAGCGATTAGTTGAGTAATAAAGGAAAACAATTAGTAACTAAATAATTAGACTTAGGTGATTCTGTAGGCATTAACTTTCATGAAATTTTATGAATATATATATATATATAATCATTATGTAATGACATGGTACCTTTAGCAAAAAAATACCTAAATGAAGATATTATAAATAGAACTTATATGTTTGAAATAAATGTTCAAAGCAATTGATTTAAATGGATACAATTTAACTCTTACAATGCCATGGGTACGTGTATTGGAAACACTATATAACCTTTATTTTAGCATTGAAAAAAGTGATACTAACAATATGAGTTTGGAATTTTGTATCACCACAAAGGAAGGGTATTCCCCTTTGAGCCTCCTAAAGATTACTTAGTTCAAGCGTAAGATATATAAAGAAATCCTGAAATGCATGTGTTTTTTATTGTATTTGAAAATAAACCCAGAGCTGAGAGAGTTCCTTATGTAATAAACATTGTAGTGAAAGAGTTTTAGTTTTGGTACTCAGAATGAAATATTTTATCCAGTCTTAATTCATTGTTATTTTCAATGGACTAGATATATGTTAGCGTGTGTCATCCTCTAGTGATAACAACACAGAAACAGAAGTTGTTTTTAATGAAGATGTTCAGAGAAAATTCTCATATTTGTTATTTTTGTCAGTGTTAGTAAATTGTAATGAGTGTAATACAGAAAGTAAATGTGCAATTACTTGTTTGTGTGAAATAAGTTAGTCAATTATTATTTATATTTCAGAATCAGAAAATGATGAAGCCAGAGTAGGAAATGACTCTGAACAAGAATTTGACACCAGTAGTGACAGAACAGATACTGAAGAGGTAAGATTATGGTTAAGAGGTGTCACCTGAATGCAAAGTACTAAGTCTTGGGGAAATACTGACTGATTCATTATAACTTAAAAAAAAAGTAGGCATTATACAATGATAAACTGACCAATAAGACAAGAGGACATGCAATGTGACATACAAAATAAGATATTTAGCATTTTGTTTTTCAAATTAAGAAATTAAAACATATTAAAATTTGAATTGTAAACTGTTTTTCTGTTAGTTTTATTGGCATACATTGATAATAAAGTTGTTTAAGAAATTTTGAAAACTAAAATGTTGGGACATGCTCTCTTTGATCTGTTTGTAGCAAGAGGGTTAAACAATCTGATTTTTTGTCTACAACAAACTTGTAATTCCTAAAAGCTTGCTATATTTTATGAAGATAAATTTGGTACATTCAGATTTATAGTAAAAATTACTGTGTGGAGCTTTAGAGATATAGGGCTGGTCGAATTGACTGATGCTATGCACAGTGTGTTAAACATGTTGTAAGTTATTACTTTCTTAATTAATTATCCTTTTTTTTTACTAAAACTTTAATCTTAATGATTAAGAAAATAGCAACCTGCAATAACAATGTTAATAGTAGAAAAATAAGTGACTGCAATTACTCTTTTAATAAAGTTTTCAGCACAGTGATAATAGAAAAAAGCACTTCTAACTGTCTCTTGACAGATCAGACATGTCATTTTGCATGTTAGTTTCACGATAGCCAGGTCTGAGATGTTTTGTTGCATAAAAAATTCATTGTTAGAAACCCACAAAATTGAAATAAAACCTTCTGTGATTTTCAGATAATTATATAATACTTTTTTTTCTTAGTTGCACATTTACTATTTAAGGAAGTATCTGAATAAACTTGGCGTCAAAACATAGTTAATAAATCAAATTTTAATAAATAGGTTTTAATTTTATAAGGAAATATTTTAAAAAAATTCTCAGTCGTCTCTAGTTCTTTCTGTTTCTTTAGTTTATTTACCACCTCTCCAAGAAGTACAGAATTTCACTTAAATTATAATATAGTTATTACTCGGGGAAAGCATACTTTTTACAGTCTTCAATCTTTACAGAGCCATAAAATAGAAAATCAGACTCCTTTTGTCACTCTCACCTGTCACATCTCCTCTTTCACAAATTGCCAATAGTTCTCACCAATGTTTAATACTATATTACTTATAACCAAAGTTTAATCTATCAAATGACATATTATATTATTTTCTGTATATAGAATTATCTATTTACTTCCAGTTCAAACTTTATTCCCATTCAAAATACATTGAGGAATTTAGCTGAATTTGTAATGACTTATCACATAGTTAATAAGCCATAGTTGTAGGACATTGTTTGTTTTTGTGTTATTATTCTGTATTTTTAGGTACAATATGTAAGTAAATAAAAAAATTATTTAGTGTGGTAGTACCATTAGAATAAAAAAAGCCTTAAGTTTCATTGGCAGTTGACAGCAAAGAAAAAAAGAAGATCCAAGTCAGAACCATATTTCTTGTTTTTCATGTGTAATTTTTATTTATTACTAGTGAAAGTACCCAGATTTACGCGGGTTATTAGGTTGTTATATTTTATATGACTGTCAGTGTGTGTATTCTGAACCCACTTTAGCATAAAAGTATAACCTGTATACTTTTGTTGCTAAACAACATGACATAAAAGCCACTGTTGGAATGCATTGTTACCAAAATGCACTGGCTTTTCAATATATTAGAAGTTGTGATATAAGGAACCACTTCTTTTCTATGTATTCTTTTGCTAGCTTGCATCATTAGGAAGATGTGCATGCATGCACTTGTGTGACTGTCTTTTTGTGATTTCTATTTGTAAAATAAGGAAGCACTTCTTTTCTATGTGATTTTTTGCTAGCTTGCCTCATTAAAAAGATGCACACGTGCGCATGTATGTGGATAGGATAAGTAATACCCAGGTGCACACCCTCAGGGTCCACTTGGTATGGGTGCAAAATTTCAGGTTTCTAGTTTCTTTCCTCTTGGAGCTATGGCGGTCACACACGCATGCACACGCACAGATATGCTCATTTATTATTATGGATTATAAAAGTAACCAAAGTGTAAAAATTAGAAACCTGTTAGGTTAGGTATGATAAATTCTTCACAAGGTATATTTGCGAGTAGCTTGTTCCTTACGTAAATTGATAAGGTGATGTGAGCTGAATGTTTGCCAAGTGATTTACAACTTTTGTGGAAGGATTATTAGTTAGACACAGTTCAAAAGGCAATAAAACAATAAAATATGAATAGATGTATACTGTTACAAGCTTTAAGCTATTTAGGATAAATAATTGTAGTTTCCTTTTACAATATTCAGTCATTCCTAATTGTTTTATGGTGGTTACAAGGTTGATCAAATCAACTGATCCTGTATGTCCTGTAAGTTGTGATATAGAAAATAACAGATAAAATATGAAGTTTTTTGAAAACATTTGATATTCATTTAGCAGATTTTAGGGATTTTGCAGGTGAAATTCGAAAATTTTCAGATGAAGAAAAGTATTTTTCATCATCTGAAAATTGCTTTATACTCAGAGCAGTCAACATTCTGTCATCATATAATTATGGACAGTTTTTGTAAAACTATTTAACTAAGAATTCAGATTTTTTTGTCTACAAAAGGCTTTTAATGTTTACTGAATGCTTGCCAAATTCCATGACCATACATTAAGTACTTTCAGAGTCATTGTTACATGGTGGTTACAAGGTTGTGTAAAATTCATGAGCCTTTTGCACTAAGTGTTTCATGCAGACAAAATTGGTGTATTAATGAAATGGTGGAAAAGAAAGGTTGACCTAAAAATGCTTGTATTTAACACTATCTAATTAAAACAGTTATTTTTGATTTATTAGTATTTTTAAATAATCCTATTTAAAATATAGCAACTGGTAATTCAGTATTTTAAGTTTAGTTTAATATGTTTTATTGGCTTGTCAACATTCAGTTTAAGATATGTAGAAATTTAAATTTTAGCAGTTTAAAGTGTGCAGTGATAGATTATTTTCACAATGTATTTTGCAACATTTAATTTAAAAAAACAAGTTTTTAAACTTTTACCATTTATTTAGAACTTAGTGATTGTTGGTTATCAAGTCTTGCTGGCCTTGTTGATGATAATCAAACTTTTCATCCCCGACAGATTTAAGTTTATGATTTTCTTATTACGTAGTTCATGATAGCTCCAGAAGATGATATGCATAAGGAAAACCCAGAGCCACATAATGATACTACTTTCATAAAGCCATCTTCATCCAGTAAATCACTAATTAGACAAAAATCATTGCAGTTCAAAACAACCAATATGTTAAAGCCATCACATGATGGACAACTGAGCTCAGTGTTATCAGTTCTTGAAACTCTAACAAAAACAGCTTCAGACAAAAGAAAGAACTTAAAGCATAAAACAACTCCTATCCAGACTCGCCTATCAAATAGTGAAAAAAAACCCAGCTATTCTAGAAGTCAAGTTATGAAAAACAGCAGCAGTCGTAGAGATCAAGCTTCTTATAGAGTTGATGGCACTTTGACTTCATGTAAGTCAACAAAACAGAAGACTTTGCAGTTTAAAACAACTCCTAATGTTATAAATGCATCTGGTAGTGAAATGCAATCGACATCGCATACTCAGTCTTCACATATCACCAAAAGACGAAAAAGTACACCAGGAAATAAATGGTCAAAGCTTAATAGCATGAATGCTAAAGGAAATCACATAGATAATTGTTCTTCTGAAGAAAGAATATCAAGATCTTCTTCTGAAAATACCAGTTCTGCCAATGTTCGGAAAGAATCACTTTCAGCTACCTTCTCAAGACATGAGGATGCTGAGAATAAAGAAGAAAGAAATGACAGTGACACTGAAGAAAAAGAGGATGCAGTTTTAAGCCATGATAGAACATCAGTGAAATCAACTTCAGCTAAAACTATGAGTAAGTGTTAGTAGTTCCATCAATCCTATTGAAACTGTTTCATGCTATCTTGGAATTTTTACTGATTGTGAGTGCCATAATTACTTTATTCATTTTTACTTCTAACTCTGTTAAAACTGATCTTTCATATCCTTGAGTGAAGGATTGGCAGAGATTCTTAAAAGGAAGAAGTGTGGGAGACAGGAAAAGTTTCTTGACATTACAAGATTACAGAAGAGAAGCTTCAATTATGAAAGTTGGTGCAGGCAATGGGAAAAGGAGAACAATGGAGAGCCATAGTTATCGACCCTCAGAATCAGGGAGGACACCATAATCGAATGATTATATTGTACTGCAACGATTTACTGACTGCATAAAAACAATAACTCTATCAATTAATTTTTTACATATATGTAGCTATAAGAAAATATGTCACTGTCATCGTTAAAATGTTTTAGCCCTATAGCAGCTTCATTTGTACATGCCATCTCTGTTTTGTAATTTTGTAAATACAACATTATAATGCAATTGTTTTACTGTCAAAAATGCAAAAGAAAATATTACCTTTTCCTAGTCAAGATACTCTCTGTACTACCAGGTTCACAGGGTTGACGAGACAATCTCGTAATTGATCCAATCTTATCAGCAGTTTGAGAACATAACTTGTTTCCCTCCCCTAAAAAATAAAGAAATTCACAAAGATTATTAAAAAATACTTTTTCTTTTGATGTTTACATAAATTACAGGAAATTGTTTTTATTTACTCTGAATGACACCAAAGCGTACATGTAGTTTCAACTGAGAGTAATTAGTTACAATACAAATAAATAACTTTTAATGTAATGCCAGTAGCCAAGTGTAACCATGTTAAACTGTTCTACACTACAGCAATTAGGGTTTGTGTAAACAACCAGACATGAAAGGATAGTTATAACAATAAACACACAGAGCTAAAGCTGTCATTTTACAATGATAACAATCACTACTGTTCTAAAGCAAAAAAAAAATCTAATTATATGCCGAAAGTAGCAGATCTTCTTTTTCCTACCTATGTTGTACTTTTACCTTTGAACATTCCAGGTTATCCTCATTAGTGTTTCTTTTTATGTAGCCAATCTTTATCATTCGTCTATAACACCACATTTCAAATGCTTTCAACTTTTTTTTTTGTTATAGTACCAATTTCAATAACGTATATTACGTCTTTCTGTTTGCTTTTATGCCAATACTTTTCATATTAAATGAATATTCAGTCCTTAACTCTTTAAACCCGTAGTTTTTTGCACATTCTGCCAGAATTATTTCATGATTTCTTAAAAATTATCACCATACCTTATAAAATTTCAATTTTCATAATGTTTTTCCCTTTAGCATCAGGGCTATCCAAATGAAGCATTGTTGAGTAAATAGCCTCAAACCTTTCCCTGTTGAATATTTGTTGTCACCATCTGATGGGTAAATTGGGATTTTTGGCCAGACACTGGTAGTATCCAATCGGGTTTAAGGAGATAAGTTACATTGACTTTTCTTCCTTTGAAGATTTTTTTTTGGAAAGTCCTTTTTGCAACTTTGGAGGTAGAGCTGGGCGATTAGCAACAGCCTCATTAATTGATTAATTAATTAATACATACAAGCAAAGTTAAAAAAAAAGATAAAATAAAAATTAAAAGCTAGCAGCATATGCTGCTATTAACCAGTTGCCTCTTCATTAGTCAGCTGTTCAAAATTAATGACAGTGGCAGATAGCCTTGTAGCTTTGCCATAGTAAAGACAGGGTGAACAAGTTTGATGGCAATGGGTGTTGAACCCAAGACCCACGAATCACGAGTTCTCCGTCCCCCTGGACTACTAAAGCTGAGAGCTTAGATAGTTCTTTATGTACCTTTGTGGTTAAAAACAGTCAAATGTGATAGCAATATTTTGCTTACTTGGATAGTTGGCGTAATCAACAATAGTAATAATCACAAACCCTAAGTTCAGTTAGTTGTTTATGTTTGTGACATTCGGTGTAATTGTAATTTTGACTAATCAGTAGTTGGAAGAACAGAAAACAGTAATAATTGGAAAGTAATTTTGAATGATTGATTACTTTCTAGAAAACTGATTGAACCGTAATTTCAATTAATGGATTTAATCATAATTTTGATTAATCATTTCATGTTATACTAATCTGTATTTGAGGTTACCATGTTTATATGATGTGACATTTTTCATATGTATCTTTTGTAGTTTCAAAAGTCAAGTAAAATTTTCATTTAAAACTTTTTTAATGTTTTTTCCTAAATATTTTGATTATCTGGTTCAATGCCAAAGCTCTTAATGATTTTAGAAATTTCAGTCAGTAGAAAGACATGAAGTATTCATTTTTAATTCCATATATATAGTTATTTAAACCAATTTTCATCTTTCAAGTTTGTTTTTAAAGCTATTATGTTAAAGTTTATTAAAATTTCCAGCTTAAATATTTCATTACTTAACCTTAATTCTAATCCTACATTAATATTTGTTTAATTCTTAAAAGCTTATATGCAGGGTACATGTAATTAAGTTAATTTATAGTTTGTCATATTCTGTTCCAGGCAATGCTGCAAATATATACCATGTAAATAAGTGTAATGATGCGACATGCTCTGTTTTGAACCCGTCTTTTTATAATGGTTTGATTGTAGCATATGAAATAAAGTTAAATTTTTCTTTTCAATCTTTTTTTTTTTTTTAGGATTCAAACACAACAACAAAAAACTTGTTACGTGTGGTGAAGTGTGTGTGTATGGTTGCAAAATATAGATTTGAAATTTCAACAATGGTTAAGAATGCTAATAAACTACGATTTTAATATCACTGTTGAAAAGGTGATGGGAAATAATAGTTTTTTATGTCTGTTATGATGGTTTTAGAAATAGTTTTACTTACATGTAGAAGTTTTTGAATATGACAGAAACTTTATATGTGAAAGACTAGATATTCAGTTGTCCAATCAGGAAACCCACAGATTTTGTTATAATATATTTCTTTCTCAGATTAAAGTTTGATGAATTAAGTAGTGATGAAGAAACTGAAAATATGTTCACCATGGGAACCAGGTAAGATAATATTTTTTTTTCCCAACTGTCATGGTGCTTTATGGAATGCAGAATACTGTATTTCTAATTGTTTTTTGTTTTTTTTAATCTGTTTCATTGTCTGGTTTTGCAAGTTTTGGTCATAAAACCAGCTGGATGTTAAAAAAAAAGCTTATTACATAATAGCATAACCTATCAAGTAGTTGTAATGTTCAGTTAGTATTTTATACGTAGCTTATTTGGGAATTTTGCTAGATATTTGTTTGGTCAGATATTAGTATCTATTTGGCAGCAAAATCAGTGAAAGTCATCTGCTTGAAACAGTATAACCAAAAACATACTGAAGGACAGAGACAAATAGTAGATGTTTAATTAATTGATAACTTCATTAATGTTAAATAGTAATAACATTATGTGCTTGACTTTTGTAATAAGGATTATAAATGAAATATTAAACTCAATTTTCAGTAACATGTTTTGTGTGCATAAATCCTTTATTGCTGATATTTTGTAAAATTGTATAATCCTGCTCTTTTATGTCAGATAATTTTTAATAAGCTTAAAGGGAATTGAAATATTTTTAGAACGGTGAGAGAATATTATGGTTTTCTGAGCAATCTTAATTATTATCTTGATGCCCAAGTCAATTTTAATTACTCTTTTTACTAAATAATTAGTCATCAGCAATCCTGTTTTTTTATGAACTAATAAATATTTAATTTGAATGTATAAAGCATTGTATTCATATTAATATATTTCTACCAGTCAGGAACTATTTTAGTAAGCCTAGGTACTTTTGTATTGCATTGTTGTAAAACTGAACTTGTATCAGTTTACTGCATTAAGTTTATTTATTTAAGACAAACTGCAAGGTTCACTTTCTCATTAGGATTTCTCACTCTCACACTTAAAGCTAAGGAGTTTGATGTTTAAAGAAGTGTTGGACATCTCCAAATAAGTGTAGATTGTTCCTAAACTTCTTCCGTATCTTCAGATATTGTTATTGCATTATGAACATGTCCAGACAAGCCTATACTGCTCCTAGTCTTCTTCCATCTCTGTAGCTATTGTTACTGCATTTTGGACATGTCCAGACAAACCTATACTGCTCCTAATCTTTTTCCATCTCTGTAGCTATTGTTACTGCATTTTGGACATGTCCAGACAAGCCTATACTGCTCCTAATCTTCCATCTTTGTAGCTATTATTATTACATTCTGGACATGTCCAGACAAGCCTATACTGCTTCTAATCTTCCATCTTTGTAGCTATTATTATTACATTCTGGACATGTCCAGACAAGCCTATACTGCTTCTAATCTTCCATCTTTGTAGCTATTATTATTATTACATTTTGGACATGTCCAGACAAGCCTATTATATACTGCTTCTAATCTTCCATCCTTGTAGCTATTATTATTACATTCTGGACATGTCCAGACAAGCCTATACTGCTCCTAATCTTCTTCCATCTCTGTAGCTATTGTTATTACATTCTGGACATATCTAGATAAGTTTAAACCATTCATAAGTTTCTTCCATCACTGTAGATTTTGTTATTTGTTACTGCATTTTACTTAATCTGTAATTTGTTTACTTTTTTTCCACATTTCAGTTATTTTTATGTTTACTTGTATGTTGCTTAGTTTCCAAAATAATCTTTCAGTGGAACTTGGCTGGATATTTGGTATTCAGCCAAAACACATACACACACACACACACACACACACACACACACACACACACACACACACACAACAACATTTGTTATTTAAGTATTTATTAAATCAAACCTTATTAAAAGTCAAAATAACATATATATGCAGGGTGGTCCACAATTATGTTTC